TCCATTGACCTTCATTCATTTTTTGGTAATGTTAAAACCTAACCCTGACCATTTAGCATCCATACCCATGGGGAYCGGGCATTGGTCCCCATGATGCACAATCAGTACCGTGTACTCCCAAATGTACTCGTCTAGCAAAAATGCCAGTGGACCAGGCTTTGGTCCCCATAAGGAGCACTGGGTTCCAACAAGACTGTATTTTGACTGGAAAATGGTCCCCATGATGTAGCAAAAAGGTGTCCACACACACACACACACACACACACACACACACACAAACACACACACACACACACATCATTGTACGTCCATCAAACTGAGGACTTTGTATTGACTATTCATTTTTGTACATGCATTTAGGCCTAACCCAGACATTTCCCCTAGCACTAACCTGAGCTAAAACTGAATTGACAGCATACCAGTAACTAGCAGAGCACAGAAGAGCTGCAAAAACAGCAAGGACCAGGACATTTTTCACAAATGACTTCAATTTTTTGGTAAATATTGTGAAAGTGCTCTTCTACATACCAGTAACCATATTTTTACTGCTTATATTCTCGCTTTAAACGCGTTTTTATAAAAGTGTCTTTTTAATGTGTCTTCTGAAGAGTTTGTGCAAAGTTACATTTTTCTTCGAGCTGATGGTGAAACAGTCTGCATCAGTCAGCAGGGTGGTTGAGGTGGATGAAGGATGTGCAGAACACTTCATCGTTTCCACGAATCTGAGCTGAAGCCCAGCTGGAAAACAGAGTTCAGATCAATGAAGTGGGGTTTAGAAAGGCTGTGAACAATTAGTATCTTACCTGTTATAGATAACTGGTATGACCTCAGTTTGGGGAAAAGAGCATTTAGTTTAATTCAAATTTGAAAATTTTAGAGCTGGCTTTAGCAAAAGTGCTACAACTAGCTGCTAGTGCAGATGTTTGCCTTCACATGAGAATTCTTTGTAAATGGCCATTTAATTTAAAAAAATGACATTGCTGCAAGGTTTTTAATTAAGCGTTTGGACAAACTGCTATGACATTTTTGAGATTAAAGTTTTAATCCTGCAGAAACACCCTCTGTTGTTGGCCCTCCACACTAGCTGTTAGCTTGTCAATCTGGAACAAGTTTGATGCCCTTCTTCACTCAACCCTCACTATTTGTCTGGGCTTGGGTGCCAAAAGTACACAGAAAGGGCACTTCCATTGTTTTTGTGGCGATCTTTTACTGTCTCACGATTCAACTCTGATTTTTGGGGCCACGATTCGATCCAAAATCGATTTTTCATTGACAGCTGATAATGGGAGACCATTTGTTGTGTTTCCAAAGTGCTTCATCTTCATTTTGCAAACCTCACACAAAGTGAAACTCGGACTCCTTCAGTAAAAACCAAAATGAGCCCAAATCTTTGCATTCAGTGAAGACAGGTCAGTTGAAGTTCTCTTTCCTCCCGTTCTGTAGTTTATTTTTGTTTTGGTGCTCTCTGCGCATTCATGTTCCAGAAGCAGTTGCGTGATGACGTCAGGACGTCCCATGTAGTTACATAATGGAGGCTGACGGCCATTGGATTTGCTTTATTTGTTTTTATTTATAAAAATCAATTTTGGGACATTTTAAATCTATTCTGAATCTTTGTAAATGAGACTCACGATTCTGATGTAAAGCGGTTTTTTGGTGCACCCCTAATAGACGATGTAAAACACATGACAGTGCTACCATGGTTGAAAATGTGAGCCCTCAAATCAAACTTTTCTCAGATACATAAAAAAATATTCTTTTAAAACTCCAGTTGCTTCTCTGGATTAAAAGAACTTCAAAAATGTCTTCCTGACCAATGAGGTTATTTTCATTTATAGTTTATTTTATTTTATTTGTTTATTTTATTGCTCTTAAAGGATTTTAATCCTCTACTCCTTTAGTTATTGACTCCTTTGACATTCTCACAAAACATCTGAAACCAATTTTCACACACCATAAGCAAAATGTTTTAAACATAACATATATATACAAAATACAAAATGTTAACTAATTAAAATATAGAAGAGGAGCTTTGTCGTGCTGCGAGCTGGAAGAATCATCTCACAGATGGGAAGTTCAGGAGACAAAGCAGGAGGGAGGAATAAAGAGGTGAGACGGTGTTGCTGACAGCCTGTCAGTTTGCATTGACAACAATGTGACGATTATGTCTGCGCCGTTTTGACAGCATCCTATGCTCACACACACACATGTCTGGTACTACTGTCTCTATGGGGACTTTGTA